TGCCACTATTTTCGTGACGGACTTCAATGTATAGCGAATACAATGACAGCAATAGACCCGCGGATGAGATGAGCGACAGATATAACGTGTTTCGCGACAGACGAGAGATCAGCTCTTTTGTGGACACCATTCCTACCACTCATTGATAAACACATCACTCATTAGTGTCAACTCAAATGGGCTTTTGATTGTCACTCACCTGTTGTTCCCAATGGACTCCAGAAGACGTTGAGTGGAGATAATGACCGAATGGATCAGATCTGAAGTGACTTTCAAAGAGATTTCCACTCAATTGTTGAGTAAATAAACAATAAAAATACTTTTGTAATAAAAGAGTTTCACATTTTGTTTTGAAATCTTATAAAAAGCTCAAACAGTTAACACATATACCTATTATAATTGCATATAATTATGCTATAAATTAAATGATAAACCGATTAACTACACAAATAATTTGAAACACTTAATCGCTTTTAAAGTGCATTCAATATTTGTTGTCATAGAGACAGCATTTGCGTCAATGAGGAGCACATGTTTGAAGTGTTGTGTTTTGATTGTCACCAGAAATGCTTCCCAAACCAAACTTCGGCTCAAATCATAGCAACACGAGTGGTGTCAACACTACCGCCGATGGCGGACACCAATCGCGTGCGTGGTTTCAATACAATCCAAACCAATCGCTTGTTCAAAGCCAACAGTTCCCGCAAATGAGACCACAATTTCAGCACAATTATCACCAAAACTCTTCGTATGGCAATTATCATCACTTGAATCAGTCATTCAACACTCAAAACTTTAATAATGGATATTATAATCAAAGTTACGGTCAAAACAATAACCATAACAGCGGACCAAATGGTCACCAAAACAAGAGATTTAAAAGTAATGTGAATAACGATAACAACAATAAGAAGACATCACTAAATTGTGACACGTGTTGTCGATGGTTCACATCCCAAGAACTTTACGATCAACACATCGCTGAACACATTATGGTTTGTATTAATGTTTTGTTAAGAGTTTTTAATTAATGATAATTGTTTTGTTTTAATTAAAGTGTGGTTTAGATGAGTGCACTTTCAGAGCACATCCCAAAGTGATTGAATCGCATCAACGAATGCAACACTTCTGCTTCAAAGACAAGACATTAGTGAAGAGGTTTATGTCATTGGAATCGGAAGAAGACATTAAGAAGTGGAGAGAAGAGCGGAGAAGACATTTCCCCACAAAAGATAACATTGAGAAGAAGGCAGACATGAGAGAGAAGGAGAGACTCGAAGCCATTGAGAAGAGGAATCAATTGATGGAAATGAAGGAAAAGGAGAGACAAATGAGAGATAATGAAAGACAATTGAATGGAAAGGAGACACAAAATGACGTGAAAACGGGTGAAACGAAGAGTGAATTAATTGATGAGAAGAATAAACGTTTTGACAGAAACTCAAAAAACAACAGAAATAATAGGAATAAGAAGCAAATGAAAGGCAATAACCGATGGAAACCAGTGGACAATAATAACAATAATAATCGCAAACTAACTCTCTTTCAAAAAGTATTGATTTTAATAAATTTATTGAAATAATGTTTAATCTGATAATGAAATTGCATTTATAATCCTATAGTTAATGTTACACGACATCCAAAACAATGAAGACATCGATGAGAAGAAATCGGAATCAATTGAACCGTAGATTTGTTTTTTAGATAATTGTTTAGATTTATAAATGATATGAAATTATTTTGTGGCGATTGTATGAACTAATTATTAAATTATATTAAACTGAAATCATTTTCCATTTGGCTATCATCTTGTGTTCCGCTTTGAATGTCTGTTTGGTATTTAATGAGGAGTTCGTTGAGTGCCTCCACATCTGGTATCTGTCCATCACTTGACAATGACTTCAACATTGATGTCAACCTATATTTCGCTCTCTTCGCTGAATCCATTTGTGTCGTTACGATTGACTTTAAAAATGCAATCAAATGTGAATTAAATGATATCTAATGTATTATAAGAGACGATTACTTTGTGAAAAGTTTGAAGCAATTGTTGTGCAATAACTTCTGCGTTATGTAGAATAATGGGATCAATTGCCGTCATATTAGCCAATTGGAGACCGTATAGCACTTCCTGAGTGGCTCCGGCCTCCAGAACGTGTGTAAACGTATAGGAATTTGTATTGATCTCATCGATAACGGAGTGATTGACACCGAAATGAAAGCTAAATATAAATGAAGAGTTGTGTTAAATTGAATACCGATTTGATGTGAATCTGAATGGAAACAAACTTCGAGACATTGTAGTAGAAGTCCTCTAGTTTTGTCATTTCCGTGAAATGTGTGGCAAAGAGTGTCAACGCTTTTGTTTGAAGCAATTGTTCACAAATGGCGAAACAGAAGCCGACGCCCTCTTCAACACTGGTTCCTCTGCCCAACTCATCGATGATTA